AAACTATTTGTCTACTCTTGTCAAAGATAATTTTGTTTACTGTTGCTTTATATAGGTACTGAAGTCTTGTAAGTCAGTCCTCGGATTATTCTTTAATATTATTTTGGCTCTTCTGACGCTTGGTGGGGAGGGGAGGAAGGGGCCTTCCAAGTAGTGCTCAGGAGGCCCAAAGATCCCCTCAGGGATTCTCAGCCTACCAGTTCAGTCAAGAAACTGAGGATTATAACAGGTCCTGTGGTGCTGTGGCTACCCAGGGCTGCTGGGGGGACTCCAGGGCTACATGTGGAACTGCTTTGGGAAATAATGTGGTACCAGGAATTGAATCCAAGTCAGACACATGCTAGGCACACACATAAACCACTATATTACCTCACAACCCCCAGCTTTTGCTTCTTGACAGAAACTTCTTATATCAGTTGATTGACAATATTTACAAAATAACTTACTATGGTTTTTATTCAGACTATACTGAATGTATAAGTCAGGCTAAGAGCCATCATCTTGACAACAATGACTCATTCTGTGCCTGAATTTGTCCAGCTATTTAGTTCCTTTATTTTACACGGCAAAGTCTGGCAAACTCCCCGTGGCGTACCCAATATGCCAAATACCAGTAACAATGATGGGTCTCATTCTCCTAAAGAGCCTTGAATATAATCTCAGGGCTAGGATGAAAGAGACGTTACTGGGGCCTGCTCGAGGCAATCGACGAATAACAGGATGATTTGTGATTTTGTGATTGATTTTATTGAGAATTTTATAGTTCTCCTCATATAGACCTTATACAGATTTCTTTAAGTTTTTATCTATTTCTTTCGGGGAAACTGCTAAAACAAATTACACTGATTTTTTTTTATGTCATAGTCCACTTGTTCATTATTGTTACAATAGAAAATGATTGTCTTTTGTATATATTACTGCTGTACTGTGCAACTTCCCTGTGATTGCATTATAGTTTTAAGATTGCTTTGTTATTGCAGGGTTACTGTATAGACAATCATGTAACAAGCAAAGACAGATTTCTTCCTTCCAAAGTTGTATGACTTTATTTCCTTTTCTTGTCTTGCTACAGTAGATAAGACTCCAAAACAGCCTTGTTCCTAATTTAAGTGGGAAAATTTCTGATTCCTTATCACTGGATGAGGCACTCTCTCCCCACTCACTCCCTCTCACACACACCCCTTCTAGAAATGTGTGTGTGTGTGTGTGTGTGTGTGTATAAAAAATCTCTATCAGTTAACTTTTCACCCTCACTTCCTGATAGTTTTTAGCAAAAACTGGTGATGTATTTTTCCAACTCTTCCTGTTTCTACTGATACATATTTTTTTCTTGACTTGTTGATATAATAGATTATAATAATCCATTTTCTAATATTAAACCAGTCTTACATGCCTGCAATGAAATCTTTTTGTGGTATATTGTTCTTTATATTCACTGTCAGATTAGAGTTGCTATAGAGAGAATGAGAGAGAGATAGAGACAGAGAAGCAAAGTGTCTGCTGTAGAGACAGGGTGGGAGTAAGGTGACAGAAGGGAACTGGGAACACTGGTGGTGGGAAATGTGCACTGGTGGAGGGATGGGTGCTGGAACATTGTATGACTGAAATCTGATCATGCACAACTTTGTAACTGTATCTCCTGGTGACTCAATTTTTTATAGATTTAATTAAATTTTTTAAAAAAACAATGAAAAAAATTTGAGTTGCTAATATTTTATTGGGAATTTGTGTACTTTGTTCATAAGAGGTTCATACTTTTCCCGTAATTTTTAGTTCTGTTTTGGGGAACCATGACTTCATAGGATTATTTGGGAAGGACTGATTCTATTTTCTGGGAAAGATTGTAAACATTCTGTACTATCGTTCTTAAATATTTAATAGAATCCATTTATGTACCTAGCAAGCTACTCAATAATTTGTTTGGATGTCAAACATTAAGTATTTTATATTTTTGTATATCATACTTTTCTATATGCAACTAAAATTGCTTAGAAATAGTTCGAACCTTTCCAATCTTTCAAGGCACTGTCTTTGTGGAAAGCAAATTAATACTGAAATACAAATTTAATCTAAAGCAACACTTGAATCACTTTTATCCAATTTTGGAAGTCATCATTTCTTTTCTTTATGTCTGTTTTCTTCCTTGTAGAAAGAAGTGACACAGAGAAAAGCAATTCTCAGAACTATGTGCTACCGCCAAGATAGTAAAGGAAAAATTAGGGAATTGGACACATGAACTGCTGGGAAATTAGGTGATATTCAAGTGTCTTGAGAATAATTCTCCTCAGACTGAACACTTTTGAATAGCAACTACATTTACAGCTTCAGAATTTCATCAGTATTAAGTTCGAATATCCAGATCAAGTCTAGATTAAGCCCAAAATTTCACAGGTATTAAGTCCAATTTTATTATGTTCTTATAGCCAAATTCATTGCAAAATCATGAAATTAACTTTCTAATAAAGACAAGCTTTTTTATATATTCTTTTTAAATAAACATTAATATGTAGGAGATGAGAATTATTGGTATGCTCCTCAGGAAAACACAAAATCTTCCTCAACTATTCCCCAAAGGCTCAATACTCAAAACATATTCAATTATTTTATACTTGTAGAAGTGCAAAAGCTCAAATATTTTATGTTCTTAATTGATGCAAGAAAATCCAATAACTTATTATATCAAATTAACATTTTAAACCAGTTTAAAATGTAAAATTGGAAGATAGCAAAAGTAAGATTTACTTTTAACATTTTGCTGCTGTTTTGTGAAAACACAATCATCACACGTTTTACTGCTACTGTGTATGGAAACTGGAGAATACATGGGATAAAATGAAAACAAGTATACCCTTATTAATGTTATTCCTGCATTAACAAGAAGAAGAAACAAGAAACTTTAAGCTTACCTGAAAGGTTAAGTATTCTATAGTGTTCTACTAAAGGTTTCTGAGCTTCTACTATGGCTTCTTAGCTAGCTATATAACTTCATATTTCTAAGAAAGTTTATAAAAAGAAATTTGGGGGTGGGGATTTTGGGTCACACTTGGCAGTGCTCAAGGTTTACTACTTAGTCTGTGCTCAGGGAATCACTCTTGGCGGCGCATGGAAGACCACATTTAGTGCCACGGAATATGAACTGGGGTTGGCTGTGTGCAAGGAAAGAACCTTATCCCCTGTACTATATATCATGAAAATTAATAACGCCATTGACCTTAAATATTTAAATAATATTTATGTTTTTTAAAAATAATTGATTAGTGATCAAATTTCAGATGCAGGTTTTAAGAAAACAAAAAAGCTAAGAAACTAGAGAATACAAACAACCATTACTAGATAGACACTTTATTTATTATTATTATTTTTTGCTTTTTATGTCACACCCGGTGATGCACAGGGGTTACTCCTGGCTCTGCACTCAGGAATCACCCCTGGTGGTGCTCAGGGGACCATATAGGATGCTGGGAATCAAACTTGGGCCGGCCATGTGCAAGACAAATGCCCACCCGCTGTGCCAGTGCTCCATCCCCCAGATGTACATTTTAAAGTCAAAGAACAAAATAAAGCACAGATATTCTTAACCTCAAGTTACTCTTCAATATACTAAATCTGTATTTCAGACTAGAAATTGTCATCATTCCATTTTTCATAAGAAAGTTTTTTATGCAGTTGCTTTTAGTGTCATAATTACAGCTTCAAAACCTTTAATAATGATAGAATGTTTGGCCAACTAGTTGTTGGATGGTCCCTATTTAGTGAGGCAACTTCAAATTATTGGTAATTTTAAACTTAGAAATCTGGGTTGGGATAGCTCAATTCTATTGTTAATGGTGTTTGCTGACTTCTAGTGAGACTTTAGACAAATCATTTGTCTTGGCTTCAGCATCCTTATTAAACAGAATATAAAGAGGCATGCTCCATCTCACTGACTGTTCCTTTATAAGTAAGGGATATGTCATGTGAATAAATACTTAACACAGCAATATTTTAAAGAAAAAGATTACTGTTAAGTATTTATAATTTTCTGGCACTCTTTTTTTGGGGGGTACTGTGCTCAAACCCAAGGCCTTACACATATGAAGCATGCCCTCTGTGACTGAGGTTCATCTCTAGCCCCTATTACTCCAAAATTCATACAGTATCTTACATATCAAACAACTGTGGAATAACTTGCTTATTTATAAAAATAAATAAATTTGATTCAACAAGTAATTTGGATTTTGGTGGAGGGCTTGGGCCACAGTCATCTATGCTCAGGGTTTATTCCTGCTCTGTACTCAGGAATCACTACTGACAGTGCACAAGGGACCATATGCATGGCTGGTTTTAAATCCATGGTCAGCTTCATAAAAGCAAGACCTAGAGGCCAAAGAAGTAGTAGAGCTGGTGAGGCATTTGTCTTCATGCAGTTGACCTGGGTTCAATCCCTGGCATCCCATTTGGTCCTCCGAACACTGCCAGGAGTGATTCTTGACTTCAGAGCCAGGAATAACCCTTGAGCACTGCTGGGTATGATCCAAAAACAAAAACAAACAACAACAACAAAAAGACAAGCACCTACCTAAACCCCTACACTCTCTCTGAATATATTTTAATTACTGCTTCCAGATAACAAGAGTGCATTAAATATATAATGTATATTTATTGGTATATTGACTGTCCCTCAAGACTACAGACACCAATCTATTTTTATAAATTCAACTAAGGATTATTTATTATTTGATAACTTAAACATAAAATTAATTCTAATTTGGGGTTTACAAAAACATCTAAAAACTAAATTTTATTGACTAAAACAGTCTTTCCCAAAGGGAATAATTCCTGAGGTGTTAGACAGATACAGGAAGCAACAACTAAGGAAGTTTTCTGTTCAGTTGCTTTAAGTAGGAAGATTCCAAAGGAACAATGAATACTTTGCTTCTGAAATAGGGGCACAGGCCAAAAAAGTGTAAGAACCTTTGAACTAGAAGAGTAACAACTTACAATTATAAATAATCACTCACCTCCGATTCATATTTTATTTTTTCTTCTTCTAAGAGTCGTGCAAATTCTTCTTTCTGGTGTTCAAATTCTGATTTAAGAAATGTATGTTCATAGCGCAGCTTATTATACTCAGCTCTATACTTTTCTACCTCCTAAATTAAAAGATTGAAATTTATCACAAATTTATACATTAAAACTTTACTCAGCCCAAACATAACTTTCACAAATAAAATTTTTGTGTTATACTAAGAGCCAACCTAAAGTAAAAATTCCAATGTATGTATAAATGAGCTTTGGAAAAGTTCTCAGAACAAGACTCCAAGTGTATTAGTTGAATTCCTGAAAGGGTACCAGGTACCAATAAGACCAGTTAGATTAATATTAACCAATTTCCTCACTCTAATAAAAATGCATAGCATGTCAAAAGTTTTGACTTTTGGGCAAAATAAAAATGGTACTTAAGAATGTATCACACCTTTCAAAATAGACTTCCAAAACTAATTCTGTCATATAAAATGCATCCTAAGAGCCAGAAGATTAAACTCAAAGTAGAGAAGAGACTATTTGAATGCTTAGTACACAACTTATGATTCAATAAAATATTATGATAGTACAACACACCAATCTGGAGGATGTGTGCATATCAACTCTTCTAGTTAACTGGGAATGTATACGATATCTTGATAGTTTTCAATCCTCCTTTTTAATTCTACAAAGTTGGTAAGATCCTGAGTCTCAGAAATAAGAATGTACACATAAGAGCAAAAAGATGCAAGAGACATAATTTCAACATGAAACATGAAATTAAGAAATAAAGCACACTTCAGAAAATACTCAATTCATTGTACATCTTCATTTAGGAGATCACTCTTCTGAGTCAGTTTAAAAATCCAGAAAATAGTTTCCAAGACTTTGTCAAAGAAGGCCATATGAAAAGGTCACCATATTGCTTAACAATATTTCAATAAACAACAGAGAACACGTAACAGCTGTTACCCTACAGGCCAATGTGTTATTAGGTTATGGCATCTACACTTGTGAACTACGTTCTACAACCTTCATACAATGGCATCAAATTTCTCAAAACATGTTCCCATCATTCAGCAGCACACACAACTGTACTTAATTTTGATTTTTAAACGCTTTTAACTTAAAAGTAAATCTAAGATTTACACATGAATCTAAGTGTAAGAAATAAGATACAAACCTTTTTGATTTCTATCCAAAAAATTAAATCTACTTAACTTTGTAACATACCAGGAGGATATTCAAAAGATAACTCTGTCAAGTCAGTAAACCGTTTATAAAGGAGGACTTCACAACTGTGATAAGTGGCATCAGTCTCACTAGCTTTCTGAGGTGATCCATTTAAGAGGACAAAGTTCACTTAGACATATAAGTCCTGTATGTTATATAAGGAAATATATAAAATGTATCTGACATGTTTGATATGTCAGCTTTACCTATCCCCTTAACATAGTTGCCAGCATATTTATTACTGTTATTTTTACCTATCCCACTTATTGAATACAGTCATACTGAGCCAATATTTCAAATAATGAGATTAAGAAAAACTGGTAAGATTTTTACTTTTCTAAGGTTGTATAAAATTCATTCTCTCATTCAACACATACTGAACAGCTGTTGCATGCTACGCACTATTTTAGACAACTAGAATATATCAGTGAACAAAACAGGTAAAAGTTCTCGCATGCAACGTACATTTGAGAAGTGATTTAAAAAAGAAGAAAAAGCACAATAAATAGTATAAGACATATTAAAAAGCTAAGCACTAGAGAAAACAGAAAAAGTAGCCTCAAAACCCTTGACTACCAAGCTTCCTGACTGAATGAGGAGTTGAGGAGTCAATGCTAAAGAGTAATAGAAAAGGCAGAGGATTAATCAAAGTAGGTATCATTGAGCAGAAAATCAGTAAAAGCTTAGATGAAGCAGTTGGCCAAGAATATATCAAAGGAGAATCCTCAGGGCAGAAGAAACAAAGGCTTTTGAACTACAGCATTTCTGGAGTGCCAAAGTGCCAGTTCAACGCAGAGCGAAGAAGGGAGGTTAGAAAGGTAATACTCTCATGAAGCCTCACGGGCCTCACAGGAATCTGAGTAAGGAAAGGAAAGGCTTGAGAGTACTTTAGAGAACTACTATAGAGTTTTTGAGTAGGGAAATGATGCTTTCCACAAAGCCCTTAAGAGCAGCATGAAGATAAATGCATATAAAATTCCTTCTATATAAAGTACTTACTTCATCTAGATTTCTAAACTGTTCTCTCATTGGAGTTTCTAATTCTTGTTGTATCTGGGCTCTTAATAATTCCAATTTTTGTGGAGTTAATACCTAAATGGAGATTAATACAAATAGTTCTCAATATAAATAATATTAGAACAAAAGTTTACCAAATTTCAAAGCCTCTCTAATTATAATCACAGAATTCAATTTACAGATTTCACAATTTATCTAAGTTTACACTAGATATTATAAAAATAGAACCATCATTTAAAATATGTTAAGCACATCAATTTCAAGCATTCAGATGTCAAAATTTCCATAAACATAAGGTAAAAACAATCACTATTATTATTATTAGAAATTACTATTTGCAGCTAAAATTATGTTGGACACAATAGTTTATAGTGTTTTTGAAAATAAATAAAATAAAGGTGTAATAATTTGCCATACCACAGAGAATTCTTCAGATTTACTTTCAATCCCAAAAGGGTGATTTTTACTCTGTCCATCAAAACTAATATAGGCTCCTTTCTGTTACTCTTTCTGATATACCTCACATTTCAGTAAGTAAATGTGGATGGAAGTTCTTTAAGGACATAAAGAATGTTTATAAACCATGGTATTTCCAATACCTCACACTACTATCTGGCACAGAATAACCACTCTATTGTATCTTTAATAAAGGAACAAATACAAATGTCTACCTTGTATTGATATTAATATTTGAAAATTAAGTGTATTGAATAATTTATTCATTAGTATCTCAAATGTTCTTATGTTTTACAGAAAGTCTATACCTGTCTTTCTCAAAGTACACACAATGACACCCTACAGGAAAGGGGGGGGGGCACTGAAACAATCCAGGGGGCAGTAGTAGCTTTAGGTACAACTGACAGGAGCTTTCTCCAAATTTACCTAAAGAAAGCAGATTTCCAGAGGAGAGGGAAACTGAATGACCTTTTTTCCCTGAAGAAGTGGCAACCAGGTCAAATAAATTTGGGACCCTGATTTATACTATATTTAAAGAACTGTGCAGAATTCTATAAATCTACATACCATAACTACCTTATGTACATTACTTATTTAGTGCCCATAACAAATCACTATATGGCTGCATTATTATCCCATTCTTTTACAGAAACTAAAACATATGTGAAGTCTAACTTTCTAACGATCAAAAAAATTTACTAACAGTCAATTTTACCATAAATTCAAATGCTCATATGAAACATAACTCATACATATAGTAAGTACAGAACAGGCAATATGGGGCCAGGGAAGTAACTTTAGTGATAGAGCAGACACCTAGCACAGCATCCCAAACAACGCTAGATGTCACCCTGGTGGCCCCTAAGCATTACCAGGCATAGTTCCTTCTAAAACAAAACAAATCAGCACAGACTTACCTAATAATTGCTAAAGAACAGAGAGGATACGTTGGACAGAAAGAATACCATTTTGAGAAACAAAATCTTCAGGACAATCCAAAACCAAAGAATCCATAAACATTTTAAATTCCCTGTAGGAAAAGTGTTAGCTGACAGTGGGTGAAGGCCTGGGGATGTGAGACTCAGTAGTACTGCACATATGCTGCAACCCTGCAGCTGGAGCCCAATCCCGGCACCACCCCCCAAGCCGAGCTCTTGCCACTCTGATCCACAGTGTCATAACAAAGTATGTGAGCTCTGATATGCCACAAATAGTGTGTGCAAATACAACTGAAGTCTGCAACGGAGAGTAAAACAACCAAAAGTCTGGAACCACCTGGTCAAATGAAAGGAAAGGAGGGGTAGAAAGGAAAAGATGTAGTTTTTCTTTAAAAATATTAGAAGAAATACACTTGGTATGATACCAACATACACAAAAGAATAATAATAAAATAGGTAAGTTTGTGTGAGTTTTGTGATCTATAAAGTGTCTAATACCCTCCCCCCTCACCCCCACTTTTTTTAGGTCCTTAATCAACAACCACCCCTGTAGCCTTCTTATCTAAATAACTTGATGGTATGGCCTAGAGCTGAGCTGGACGTCTCTAAGCTGTGGCAACAACTGCCCTATGATAGAGGAGTTCACAAAACTTCCTCTAGGACAATCACTAGAAGTCCAACTACTGTGTGCTGGAAATAAACACCTATCAATGGCTGATGGAGTACTAAGGCCTACCTTTACACTCTCCAGAAGTAACTCTTAGGATTAAATCCCAGAGTTACTTAAATCAGATACATAATCCAGGAGCACTCATTCATCTCCCTGAGGAAATTTGTGAAAGACAGATTACCTGTGCACAGTGGTGACTGAACAAATAGCAGGTTCAATTTAAAAGACATCCTTCCTAGCAGTGGAAGCATTATAATGGGTAGAACACTTGCCTTGCAAGTGGCCAACAGAGGTTTGATCCCAGACATCCGGGATGGTCCCAAGCACTAAAAGGAATAGTTGCTGAGTGCAGAGCCAGGAATAACCCCTAAGCATTGCCAGGTTTGGCCAAAAAGAAAAAAATAAAAAAGACTGATCCCGATAATCTTGATGAAACTTGGCTTAAATATGGCATCAATCTAATAATCTATCTTATTTCCTAATGATCGTATAAAAAAAAAAAAAGAACTCAGAGAATAAAAATCTATCCTTCTCTGTGCCCCATCCCCTTATATGTCTCCTCCTCTCTCAATATATATTCACCAGAAGCAAAATTAGAGGCTCTTTTACATGCCACTTTAGGAGGAAATTATGTTGTCAGACTTCTAATAGAATGTTGCCACAATCTCAAAAGAAAGTTACAAAAATGTTTTATCATGTAACAGTCCACATGTCATTACCTATATTTAATCTATAAAACCAAACTGTAACACCCGTCATATTAAGAATATATAATAAACCAGTATTTTTTCAAAGAATGCTTTAAGAGGGAAAATTTTTGTGCCAGAGATCCTTAACAAATTAATAAAAGAAACTTAGTAACAGATTTTCTCTGAGCATCCTAGTAGCTAAATAAAAGGTAAAACATACTGGGCTATATAATTTTCATTACCTGACAGAGAAAAACTTTAACTTTTTGGTAAAACAATTTTTATTAGAAATCTTTAAAATGGATGCCAATTTTAAAGAATCCCTTTTTAATCAACTTTATAACAATATAACAAAAATGAACATGATCTAACTGCATCATGTTAAAGAACCATTAGTGCTTCTTAATTTACTTCTATGGTCTAGGTACTATTATTACTTCCATTTACTACAACTTCACAGGTAATATAGAAATATTCTTTAAGTGAATGTCTTTTAAAACTTTTTCTATTAAACCTAGAGGGGTGATATTAAATCTTAACTCATAAAAGGAATTCTGCTGGTAGACAATACAAGTATTTTAAAAATAATAATCTTTTCTAAAACTTCCTGAAACATTTCTGAACTTACTTTTTTAATTAATTACATTCAATTCAAAATTTGTGCAAAATGCAAATATCAGCTAAAGCAAATAAATTGCTTCAATATGTGTGGTATGTATATGTATATGTATGCAAATATTTGCTTATTTTTGCCAGGTAATTATTACACAGAAACAAGGTGTGTTTATCTTGTTTCTGTGTAATGTTTATGTTGAAAAACAAAAACTTTACCAGATAAACTGTATTTGTCAGTAAACACATCAATGTTATCGATATAGAAATGTCCTAAGTTACATTCTTTAAAGCAAAGGAACAGTACAAGAACCAACAGGAAGACGACAGAGGAAATAATTTCATTATGAAAAAAAAATTTTTTAGCTTTCCTGAAACATTTTTTTCTGGAAACATTTTTCTTAAATGGAACTGGATCACTTTAAGAGTTCATTAGCTTCTCTAACACTGAAAGTACCAAGGCAGAGAATAAAGAATTCTGTACCAAAGATATTCCAGAAGGAACTCTGCTTTGGGTACTATTATTAGTTCCTTAAAGCTGCTAAAACAAAATACCACAGACTGGGAAGCTTAAAACAACAGGAATGTATTGTCTCAGCTCTGGGGGTTGGAAGTCCAAATCAAGGTGTCAACAAGGCTATATTCCCTCTGGAAACTTCACTGCCTCCTCGAAGCTTCTGGTGGTGTGCCAGCATTACACAGCTGCAGCACGAAATCACTCTCCTGTCACCATAGGGCTTTCCCCATGGCCATCCCCAGTCATCCAGCCACAAGGGTATTTCTGTCTTGATCTATTTTCTCTTCTAAGAACATAAATCATATTGGATTAAAAATCAAATTTACTCCAGTGTGACCACATCTTAATTAATTATACTTGCCAAGATCCTATTCCCAAAAAAGAGTCACATTCCAAGATAATGGGAGTTATATCTGCAACATAACTTTTTTTTGGAAACACAATTTAGCTTATACTTGATATTTAAAAGAATCCGATGATTATCAACTCTTTAGCTTTAGGTACATAAGAAAGAAGTTCTAGGTACAGATGAGATGGGAAGTATAGTATTTTTTATTAATAGAACAATTCCAATTCATTCATTTATTCTATCTATTTGTGTTATCTCACAAATATAGTAGCTAGACACTGCTATGAATACTGGAGATGCACTAAGAGTGTCTGCCTTTGGGGCTGGAGTGACAGCACAGCAAGGCAGGTGTTTGCCTTGCATTCACAGAGCCGGGGTCGATCCTCAACATCCCATATGGTCCCATGATCAACCTGTTTAATAGCATCATGTACAAAATGACACTATGAAAGTAAGACCTCAACCATAAAACTTTTGTTACAGTATACTGTACCTAATTTACAAAGTAAACTGTCATAGGTATTATGTAGGTACAGGAGAAAAAAAAACAGTATTTATAGGGTTTAATATTATTCTTAATTTCAGACATCCACGGAGGGAATCCACTCACATGCCCCATAGTAAAGGGTATTACCGAGAACAACATATTCAGCATTTATAATGATTTACTATGTGCCAAATACTGTACTAATGCACTAGTCGTCACAATAACCCCTACTAAGTAAAAGATTGTATTCTCTTTGCCACATGAAAAACTAAGAAATAGCTACTTGGTGAAGACAAGAATATCATCTTCCTGGTCAAGTGGTGCCAGCGATAAAACCTGGGCATTTCACCAGCTTGCATGTGCTCAGTCCACTGAACTCTCTCCCCAGTGATCTGATATTTATGCTTATTTATATATAAACTTAGAAATTACCTTTGACATATTATGTTACTTTTATGGTGTATTTTAAAGAAGCACCTTACAAATCACCGTTGGGGCTAAAGAGATAGCTCAAAGGGCTGAAGCATATACTCTGCATGTGAAAGCCCCAGATTAGATCCCTGGCACCATATGGTCTCCATGGTCTGCTACTTGGAGGTCCCCCACCTCTAAAATCACTATCAAGATTTTTTTTTCCAGTTTAATTTCCCTTGTGATACTTAAGGAAACTCAATATTTTCTTAAATAATTCTGAAATTATTTTTTTATTGGAGATGAGAAGGGTTTTCCAACCTGGGAATCCAACAGTGCTCCCAAGGCCCAGGAGCCACTACCTGTGATTATCAGCCAGCTGGGCTGCTGGTTCAATGTAAGGGTCCAAGGATTCAGTGCTACTTGGGCCATGCAGTGCCAAGGATAACCTGGACCATTCTGGTAGTGCTCAGGAGGCACCACAGCTGTTGCCAGAAATGTGAGGGGAACTTGGCATTAAACCAGGGTTGGATACATGCAAGACATGTGTCCTGTACTCTATCACCACTTTAATTCTTAATTTTTGTCATTTCAAAATCTTGTTTTACCTGAAATTATTCTGAATAGCATAAAATATTATTTAAATCAAAATAGGAACTACATAAAAATTAAACTGAGAGTTTTAAAGCTAAATTCTATATGCTAATTAACACTTTAAACTATATGAAAGAAGATTAAATCATAACACCTGGAGATACAGCAAAAAAAACACCTAAAGAATAGACTTTAAAAAATTAAGAAATTTATTGAAACTACTTCCACTAAATATCTAAGTGCTCTTATAATCAAATCAAATACATTTTATTACCTGCAGCTTCACTTCTTCTAAGTTTTTAGTTTTTTCTACTAATTCCCCTCTTAATTCTTCAAGCAGCAACTGAAATTTTTCCTGGTTAGTTTGCTTTTCACTTAATAGGCGTTTCAGTTCATTTTGTGATTTCACATATTCATCTTGCAACCTGATTTAAAAAAAATTAAATTTTAAATATCCTTTACTAATTTCATTACTTAATGTAATTTCAACCAACATTAAAAAACAATATGACTACCATACATTCAATTAAACTAGTAAATACCACTTTTGGTGAAGTAAATACCGTTTTTGTTTCCTGGGTGGCCCAACATGATGCTCAAGGTTTTCTTCTGGATCTGTGCTCAGGGATTGCTCCTGGCAGGGTTCCGGGAATCATATGTGGTGCCAAGGATCAAACCCAGGTCAGACACATGCAAAGTAAATGCCCTACCTGTGTACTATTGCTTCAGCCCATAAATACCTATTTGTAGAGTTTCATTTCATTATTAACTTTTTCTGAATGCAATTTTACTCTAAAGGGGGAAAAATGCCACCTGGCTACATTTAATTTTATGCCCTGACACTTTCAAAACAAAGCACTAATTCATTCATAATCTACTATCATGCCATGTTTGAATAAAGTCTTTTTTTAATTATTATTTTTTGGTTTTGGAGTCACACTCAGTAGTGCTCAGGGCTTCTTCCCTGGCTATGCACTCAGGAATCATTCCTGGAAGGATGCAGGGGACCATATGGGTGCTGAGGATTGAACCTGGGTCTACCACTTGCAAGGCAAGAACCCTAACTGATTATATATATATATATAAAGGCCCTCCCGTTGATCGTCGATTTGCTCGAGCGGGCCCAGTAACGTCTCCACTGGAGACTTTGTTGTTACTGTGTTTGGCATATCGAATACTCTCGGTAGCTTGCCGGGCTCTCCGAGAGGGGCGGAGGAATCGAACTCGGGTCGGCCATGTTGGCTGCTTGTAAGGTGAACGCCCTACCCGCTGTGCTATCGATATATGGCTATATCTGGCTCCTGAATCAAGTAATTTTAAAGCAAATATTTTATAGTATTTAAACGTTTTAAATGTGTACAAAGCAAAATAACAAACTTATACTACATGATTATATATATATATCACTGAACTCGGGTCGGCCAAGTTAGCTGCAAGGCAAACACCCTACCTGCTGTGCCATCGCTCCAGCCCATATATAATCAAGTCCCTAGCCTTAAGTTATTTACCTTGTGTGGTCAGCTTTCAGAGTCTGATAATTAGTTTTATGATGTTCACATCGTAATCTTTCATCAATTAACATTTTTTGAAACTCAGACTGGGAACTTGTCAAGCCACTGTCTCCACCAGGAGGGAAAATGGTGGGAAAAGTGTCCATATTTGTAAGAGAGCTGACAACCATGTAAAAACAAATTCTTGCTTTCTTATTGTCCCAGATTTCTTTCCAAGAGTATTTTCCAATTCCTTTTCACTAAGACAGAATCTCAGGAAACCAACTTATACCTGTACAAAGAAAAATACTTAATTAGTAATCAGTGAGCAACAAAATATATAAACATAAATATTTATTTTTTATTAGTTCTCCTTATCTATTCTTGAACAAAATCAAAATTTCAGATTTTCAACCTTTTATAAAACAATTAAAAAATAAAGTCGACTCATTCTTTAACAAATGTTAATTCCACTGAAAGCTTCTCTTTATAAGATCACATCTTCAAGTATTAGCCTAACTAAAAGTATGGACTTCTCCAAGTTAGGTACATGGATTCACAAATTACAGGTATTTACCAAAGTAAGAGTGAATTCTAAAATAAAACCCATACTCAAATCAGAAGAAAAGTCATCTACAATTAGATGAGTAGCTGGGGAGAATCATAGTCTTCACAAAGATGACCTTAAGCAAACAACTCCATCTATGATAAATGCTACAGAGGGTATTTTATTTGAACTGCATTCAGGCTACAAATTCAGATGAGAAATCAGTCAACACATAAATATTGATCACCTCCTATGTCTTATGAACTGTGTAAAGAAGAGGAATCTAAATTAGCTATCTCCAAAAGTGCTGACCCAGGATTATGAAAATAAGTTGTATATAGATGCAAAAAAATGAGTGTTCATATTATAAATAATTAAAAGCAAATTTTACACAAATTGGCTCTGACCCTTTTAATGTATTTTTTCAAAAGTACTCTCTCTATATATTTTTTTCCTCCTAAAAACCTCCCCCTTAGTCATGCATTATCAAATAGTTTATCTTTTCTTTTCTTTTTCTTTTAAATAGGTTTCTTTTGGGGGGGGGAGGGGTCCTAAACTGGCCAGTGTCCAGAGCTTACTTCTGGGTCAGAGTTCAGGACTATACGTGATACCAGGATTGGGGGATTGGGGTCTGGGGGATCATATGTGATGCCAGGGATTGAAACCAGTTCAACTATGTACAAGACAAGCACTCTACCCACTGTACTACCCCTTCAGTCCTGTCTTATCTTTTCTTATAAGAAAAAAAAAATCCTTAAGACTATAACTAAGCAGTCATTAACAGTACTGTCTAACTTGCAATACATCATTTCTAATAAATGAGTATGATATCTTCATAAGAAGAAAAACTAAAAGGGAGTTCTCCTGGTTTCCTGCAAATCTAAATTGATAGAGGAGGAAAGACCATCAAGGATGCTATGTTCCTTACTCTTACTTTGTATGTGCAGAACATCCTGTTTGTATCAGATGCCACACCGTTTTTCTGCCAAGAGTCTACATTTGCCATAGAGTGAATTGGATCATGAAATTAACTTGTGATTTTAATTCTGCTCTTTGATTCAAGTGTTTTGGATTTTTCTCCTGTTAAGCCACAAGCAGCAGTGCTCAGGGGCTATTCTGGACTCAGTGCTTAGGGAGCCATATGGTGTCAAGGATCAAACCTATAACTCCTGATGCAAATTTTGTACTCCAGCCCATTCAGCTATTTCCCTGGCGCTCCAAGTTAACTGTTTTGTTATGGGGGCCCATATTCGGGTATAGCACTTGTAGCACTGTCCTCCAGTTGTTCAACGATTTGCTCAAGCGGGCACCAGTAATATCTCCATTGTGAGACTTGTTACTGTTTTTTGGCATATCAAATACGCCACGGAGAGCTTGTCAGGCTCTGCTGTGCAGGCAGGATATTCTTGGTAGCTTGCTAGGCTCTCTGAGGGACAGAGGATTCGAACCCAGGTCAGTCGCGTGCAAGGCAAACACTCTACCTGCTGTGCTATCACTCCAGCCCATTTGACTATATTCAAAGCTTATTCCTTCCTCTGTGTTCAGGGATCACTCTTGGTAGTGTTCAGGGAACCATATGCAGTGCTGGAGATTGAACCAGAGTCTGCCATGAGCAAGGCAAGCACTACTGTACCACCTCCCTGACACTCCAAATTAATTTTTCAGGAATAAAATCATATGCTTCTCTCATACTTTCAAATAATGTCACCAAAGGCCATAATAGCTTTAATTAACTAATAACTTAATTATCTTAGAAAAACAACAAAAGTACTATTCTATGCCATATGTAAAAGAAAAAAATCTGAGCTAAAATGAATATATTATTAGTCCCATTAACTTGAGTAAATATTCTCAATGACTTTCAAATATAAGTTAAGGCTGGGACATAGCTCAGAAGTCAGGAATGCATACCTTGCATGCACACAGCCCCAAGTTCAATGCATGGATCCCAGCATCACCAGACTGAGTCCTGGAGGTGCGAACACCACTAGGCCCAGTAATATACTATCTGGAAGAGTACTGCTGGCAGAGCACTGCTGAGAGAAGGCCCAGCTTCCCTGAGCACTGCTTGAGAGGAAACACTCAATATCCATTCCCCAGCTGCCCTGGAGTGTTTTGTTTCATGGAAATATAATTCACACAGGCCTGAACATTTTGGGGAAATAAAGTTAAAATGCTCTATTTTAGTTCTTTTCAGTACTTCAGCTAACTTTAGCATGTCTCTTTTCAATCACCTCCATTACCATATACCTAATTCTAATCCCTAAGCAGACACATGGTATTTTGTCCCTAGTATTTTCCAAAGAGACTTTCTTTTATCCTACAAGGATGCTTGAAGCCTACTACCTTCTAGTAACATATTCATTTTAATGATGGAGAGGTAAAATAAACTATAACACATCACTCGTAAGTACCACACCCCAAAACAAGGTATACCCCCCCATCCTCACCAAAAATAACCATACTGCTAACTGCACGTTTATACAAAAATCAATACTAACCTCTCTGGAAATTTAGCTATATTACTATGATAAATCTGCTTATAACTTAGTTCAATTCTAAGATTTTTTCCTATGAAAAAACTGAATGAGTATCTAAAATAACTTTGAACATTAACTTTCACTGCAGTATCATTTTGGAACTCTCATTCACTGCTAGTAGAAATGTCTGGTTAAATGCCTGTGGAAAATAGTATGAAAACTTCTCATAAAAGTAAGAAGAGTTAGCTGATGACCCAGCAATGGGTATCAGGAATCTAACAGGGAGAGCTGACTGCAAGGCAAACTCTTTACTGACTGTAGTATCGTTCTGGCCCTGGAAAAACCATCTACACTAAGTTATGAGCACTAGCTGCATTTGTCAATTTTTTAAAAACTTTCTCCTTTAGGTATATTTAATTATCACAAAATAATTATCTTCCTGTTTATACTGTAGCACTGTAGCACTGTCCTCCCATTGTTCATTGATTTTCTCCAGCAGGCCCAGTAACGTCTTCATCGTGAGACTTGTTGTTACTGTGTTTGGCATATTGAATACGTCACGGGTAGCTTGCCAGGCTTTGCCCTGCGGGCGAGATACTCTCGGTGGCTTGCCGAGCTCTCCGAGAGGGGTGGAGGAAATGCAGAGGAATCGAACCTGGCTCGGCTGGCTGGCCGCCTGCAAGGCAAACACCCTACCGCTGTGCTATCACTCCAGCCCCTGTTTGTACAAGTCATCAAAATCTTAATGAGTTTTATATCTGTTTTAAAACATTTTGAATGTATAATATTAAATTCTCCAGTTGAGTGGTAATCAAGTTATCAGTGATAATATTGGGAAGCCTAGTTGTATTAATCCTCCAATAGTAAAACTCTTTCTCAGATCTTCAAAAGTAGTTCTGAGCCAGAGGTAGCAGAGGGTTAAAGCTGTATGTAGCCAACCTGGGTTTGATCCAGAGCATTACATATAAGGCCTAAGCACTAACAGGGGTGGCCCCAAAACAAATAAAAATGTTCCACTATTCTATATTCAGGGTTTCAAAAAAGAAGTGCTACATTTTGTGAAGGGTACTCAGTGGCTTTAAGGGCCACTCCAAATAAGCAGTACTCTGCCTGTCTGTGTAGCCCTAGCAGTTCAGATTTGGGCCTAGTGTTATGGTACTTCTAGAGTGCTGGGGGCCATCAGTGCCACATCCAACAGAGCTCAAGGGCCACCTCAGCTTCTTCAAGAGGTGATGGGGAGGGCCATGCAGTGCCAGAGAATCAAACTGGAGTGCAGTTGCTGGAGTGCACTGGCTAATGCTGTACTGAGTATTGCTGAAGAGCATTGTCAGAGTACACTGCAGTCCTTTGAGTGATCTCCCCAATCCAACAGCTGCTATATTTTTAATACTAATCAAAAAAAATGGACTTAGCTAAAACCAAAACCCTAACTTAATCCCTTAAACACCAAAGAAAATATAGTCTATTTCTTATACAAAAAAGTATTAAGAGTTTGTGTTGCCAGTGACAAAATACTAGACAATTGAAATCAAGCCTCCTGCTCTGAAGACAGTAACACGTATTTTAAAAATTTGCTTGAACATGTTGGAAGGCTAGAGAGTAAATATATTTACTGAGACAGTAACAGGTGAGGGTGTGAATGTTGAACAAGACAGACATCTGGGACCATCATTCCCCAGAGAAGCAGCTAGGAAATTGATTTTGAAGACTCTCTGCAGGCACTCAAAAAGAGAAAAATGAACCAGCATCTAAGGAAGGAGTTCTGGAAATATTCATCATTTAAGATAAAAACTTTAAAGGGAGCTCCTTAGGAAAAAGAAATTAGTAATTCAGAAAAAGAAATATATTACTAAAAAGTGTTACAAAAATATTTTACAGATAAATATATGGCACACACAAAAAACCCTCAAGCCCATTAAGACAAGGCATCATAATATGAATAAAAGTCACAAGAAACACTAGATATACAAGGATCTCACTAGTCGTGTTAGCAATGATTCTAAAAGAAACTTGTCATTCTGTTTACCTGGCAATATAAAAACGGTTAAGAATGTTGTGAGAAAATTAAAAACCATAAAATGAAGTCAACAAACATGCTAGAACTGGAAAGTATAATAACTAGAAGTCCTGAACATTACACACATGACATACATAATATAACTCTGATTAATGGAAACTAGAAGCAGACTGGCTAAGGAGCTCAGGACATAAGAACCAACACAGCACTGAGTTCCCTGGGTTTCCCCTCACACTGCCCAACTTGAA